ATGCTATAAAAAGCTTCACTGAATAATTTCCACAATCTCCTTCACAAGAGCCAAATCAGAATATTAAAGGTGCCAATTCTATACTCACTCAAAATGACAAGATTTAAAACTAAATTAAGCCATTTATAGTACATTTCTATACCACTCTTCCATCACAGGGCAGTTTACAATACAACTAGTTCTCCCTCTCTGAATAACTGAGGGGACTTCCAAACGGGGACTTAATACTGTATTGTAAATATGTCAGTGAGGTATCCCAAATGGGTCATTGGGAGCAGGTTTTGGTTGGTTTTTTAAAAGCCTATTGGACCCCCTCCCCCAAGAAAGGGTAAATTGTTATTAAATAGGGGGAACGTGTGACAATGTTGTGTAGATGCCACAAAACACTTGATTGTATGAGAAGCTCCTTTGTTTGGAAGTTGCCCTGAGCAGCAACTCCAGTGGGTTGTAATGTAAAGAGGATCTTTTGGTACCTGTACACAGAAAGTGACTATAAGGGAAGCTTCATTTCCTTACCTAGCTCCAACAACAACCTACCTTCAGGGAATTCTTTCCATCCTGATTTGCATGCCAAGGAACCACTGCAAAATGGAGAGAATTGTGCAGTGTGTTCAATCTAGGCAGTCACATGGACAGTTCACAGTAGGCAGGAAAACAGCTGTTTTTTTGGCACTGAGGTGAATGGGAACTGTATTGTGGGAAAGGATGGGTCAACTCTATTTCTTTATTGCTGCAGTTTTTAAATTAGCAATTTCCTGTTGCTCCTTTTAGTTGCTTAAAGTAACGTTATACAAATGTGGTACTGAACCCCCAATGTCTTTTTAATACCATTGTATATTATTGGAATTATGCTTTTCTTTTTATTATAAGCCACCTTGAGAGGGCTGGGTCCAAGAAAGCATATTTTAAACAATTAAAATAAACAAACAATAACAACCTCCAGTACCATGTCCCCACCAAAAATCACCTCCCCACCCTCCCCACACTTGGGTGCTAAAGGGTTAACACTCACCACATTAGTCACACACCCAATCCATGTAAGAGTCCCCTGCAGCAGTTTTTTGTGGGGAGTAAGAGTTGCCCATTCTTGTTTCATTAAACAAGAAACTCTGCTAAATGTAAGGACAGTCAACATCAAGATGGCCATCTGAATAATCTGTCAGGAGGCAGGTGCTGAAATTTTGAAATCAGCTTCCATTCAACTGTATTTGCCGTCTTACTTTTTGTTACTATGGAATTTTGCTGGAAAACAACTCCCCAAGCCTTTAATTTCCTTAGTTGGATTGGTTGCAGCCCAAATATGTGACTTGGTGGCCTCTCTTGACTTCTAAGGGTGGGGAAGGCTGGTATGAAAGCACAACAGTTGAAAATGGCTTTGAATGTGACTCTTAAGTGCAGCCTGTCACTATTAAATGGGACTGCAATTGTGCTGTAAAAGGACAGCTTTGCTCCTAATCAGATGTAAGCAGTTTATGCAGAATGGTGAACCTGCGTCCTGGTTAGGTCAGCATTCTGGCCCTAGTTTCGAGTGAGGCACCACTTTTTCTTTTTCTTTTTGGACTGCTCTTTTGTGCAAGTATGCTAGATCATGAAAGGTGTAGGTGCACATGTAAACAAATACCCATGGACATCAGGTTTCTTGGCTTGGAGCAACAAACACATACACACGGCTGCTGTTTTGTGCAAATCTGGTAGACTGAGAAACTTGTATTTTGGGGGGGTGTTTACAGGTAAACAGATACCAGTGTGCATATTCTAACAATGACAATCCCATCTCAGTATTTTATGTACAGTGGTACCTCGGGTTACATACGCTTCAGGTTACATACGCTTCAGGTTACAGACTCCGCTAACTCAGAAATATTACCTCAGGTTAAGAACTTTGCTTCATGATAAGAACAGAAATCGTGTGGTGGCAGCACGGCAGCAGCAGGAGGCCCCATTAGCTAAAGTGATGTTTCAGGTTAAGAACAGTTTCAGGTTAAGTACGGACCTCCAGAACGAATTAAGTACTTAACCTGAGGTACCACTGTACTGCACATATACTGTGATGTTGGAAAGAAAGCAGAAAACAAATGCCATTATGTTTCTAATGCTAGTTAATAATAACCACAATAACTACTTCGACAAGCAAACATTTTCACTGCAGATTTTTGGCCATCCACAAGTTATTGGCAGAAACAGACCTTTCTCTCATAATAGTAACCATTTAGTTCTGTTTTTCTGAGCCAGGCCATACTAGCCTGAGTCTGTCTTGAAATGTTGCCTTCAAGATTAAAGTTATTTCCTAAAACCGCAAGCGAGAGGGTCCCATTCAAATTACTATATGTATTGAGGGAACGGTGCTTTGCATATGCTCAGAGCCGCTGTTTCCTTAGTATAGCATTATATCGCTTTCCAGTCCCTCTTTTCCACAAATCAGAGATATTTAGATTTCTTCAAGACTTGACAGAGGTACTGGAAAGGATTGATTTAGAAGTCAAAATAAAGTTTGATATTATATGAAGTTGATCTATTTTATTGATGCAGAGCAGGCTGGAAGCAGGATACTGGGTTACATGGACGTCTGTCGCCTCCAGCAAAGCTCTTCTGTTGTTGTTGTCAACTATATTTGTATACCGCCCTATACCTGCAGTTGCAACATAAAACTACAATATAAAAACACAAAACACATAATAAAATAAAAAAACAACCCAATTTAAAATCCCTCCCTCATATGTTCTTATATGTCTATACATTTGTTTTGCAAATTCTGTTGCAATGGCTACCTTAAAATCAGAGACCCTTGTCCTGGCTTAAACCTTTATTATATGGGAAATGACATCATCTGCAATAGATTGGCTATTTCCAAGGAACGGAGCAGCGCAGCATCAGGCACATTAGCAGGTTAGATCACAACAATTTATTCCCATAAACACTTCAGTGATTCATCCTCCCGTGACGTCACCGTCGGATGTGCTCCAGCTAATTCAGACTAGAACTTTCTCCCTTTTCAGCCCCTGTCTGATTCACACCTGTGTCTGACACAGGGTTTACTATTGTCGCTGTCAAAAGAAGTGCAGCAGAAAAAAAGTGGGCAATTTGCAATAAATTGCTTGTATCATATCAAGTCTCAGTCATTCGGCTGGCAGCGTGTGTCTGGATGGAACACTTGGTTTTTGCATTTTCTGAAGCTGGCGTTGCTTCCTATAAATGGGAAATCTCAAAGAGGCTAAAGATGATGGTGATGACACACCTTGAGAACGGATTGTCTTGGGCGCAGGTGGGTAGCAGCTTGACTGGGAGATATAATGAGTCATTCTGTGATTTAATCAAAGAGGTTAGTATGTACCCAGTGCTGGGTTGATTGGAACAAGGAGGAAGGAGGGAACCGATGCCTCACAGCAGAAATGGTGTACTACGAAGGCAGGGAATCTTCTTTATCCCAAGGGCCACATCCCCTTCTGAACAACCTTCTGGGGGCCACATGACAGTGGTGGGCGGGACCAGAGGCAAAAGTGGGCAGAGCAACTAATGTAAACTTTGTACAATAGCTTAGTTTCCACATGTGTTCACACACCCCTCTTTCTCTCTCTCATCCACCCAGGCAAGCAAGGTGCATAATCAGAGTCAAGGACACATTTTAGTAAGGCAAAAATGCTAGAGAAGGGTGTGAAGGAAGACCAGTGATGGGCGTAGCCTAAGGAGGAGGGATTTGGCTGTGGAGGAGGTATGAACTCAAGAGAGTCACAAGGACCAGCCAGAGAGACCTGGAGTAGGGCTGGGTGATGTACAGTGGTACCTCGCAAGACGAATGCCTCGCAAGACAAAAAACTCGCTAGACGAAAGGGTTTTTTGTTTTTTGAACTGCTTCGCAAGATGATTTTCCCTATGGGCTTGCTTCGCAAGACGGAAACGTCTTGCAAGTTTGTTTCCTTTTTCTTAACACCGTTAATACAGTTGCGACTTGACTTCGAGCAGCAACTCATAGAACGCGGTGTGGTAGCCTTTTTTGAGGTTTTTAAAGACTTTGGTGATTTTTGAAGCTTTTCCAAAACTTTCCCGACACCGTGCTTCGCAAGACGAAAAAAATCGCAAGACGACAAAACTCGCGGAACGAATTAATTTCGTCTTGCGAGGCACTACTGTATCGATATACCACCCCAAACTGGTTCGAAGTCCATATTGTACTATTGGTTTCATAGTTTTTGACCTGGCAATATATCGTGAATCATGATATATATGTGTGTGCTATGCAAAAAATCACAATGTGGGGAAAACCATGAAGCCAGCCAATGCCCCTACATAGCTCCATGCTTATTTCAGACATTGTTATATAGCAGTACATTGTGATGTTTAGCTGGTGATATATCGCAATGTTGAAAACCAGATATCATCCAGCCCTAGCCTGGAGGCCTGCTGTAAATTCTCCATCCTCGATGTGCTATAATCTAACCCAGAGATCTGGGGCCAAACTTCACAGGACATAGAAGAGCTGTGATTTCATGAGAATTTGTTTCTTAAAGCAGTTGCAGATGTGCTCTGATTTTGATAAGAGCAGAGGCGCTGGTGGAGGAGTTGCTGAATGCTTTCCCTCCATTTCCTGATCCAAATTGCCCCCGTCCCAAGCTATTTATTAGGAATAAAATGCAGGACCACTGCTGCTTCTCTGATTCCCACCCCCCAAAACACACACACTGTTTTAAGGGCAGGGGGAGGAATCAGGAGACCCAACTGTGGATTGCCCACTTCATGCTTGGTTTGATGCTGTTATGGAATGAATCCTTACTCATCTTAATCTCCTCGTCCCTCACTTCCTATAAAAGCATTCATCCTATTAAGCATGTAAGAGAAGGAATCTGTGTGATGGTACATTAGTGTTCAGCAGAAAATGGTTAGCCCTGAACCGTGCAACATTAGGAAAAAGAGGACAAAAGGAGGAAGATGATTGAATAGGCCTGCCCAACTTGTAACAAAGGACAGCAAAGAAATTTGGTTCAGTTCTAACTTTGATGACAACCTACCTAATTCACACTTTCTGAAACAATAGATGAACCGAAGTACAGTTATCCTTTAAAATTCTCACTTCTCTGAATTTTGTGACGTGGTTCTCCAACCAAATACTGTGTATAAAAAGGCATACAGTATATTAATGAAAACAACATGCAAAGGTGCAGTATATATTAGTATACTAAAATGCTAACAAATTTTCACAATGACTTAAAAAATAATAATTGCAACCTGAACCAGAAATGTGTACTTCAGACTGAGAAACTGAAACAGGAATTGATAAATTCACCCATCCCTGCTTTTTGCCTGTTAGAAGTTCTCCAAAGTCTCCTGTCTCTCTAGCTTTTTAGAGTTTGTGGAGAATGTCAGTACGTGTACTTGATCTTTCCAAAAGCTTTTGACAAAGTCCCTCACTCAGTGATGACTGGGGCCCACCGGAACTGGTAGGGCAGAAGGGAAAGAAGCCAAGAGTAGGCGGAGCCAGAACCAACAACAGGCAGGGCCTACCATAGCCTTCCCCAACCTGGTGCCCTCCGGATGTCATTGGACTACAGCTCCCATCAATCCCAATAAGCATGTCCAATGGTCAGGGTTGTAGCCCAGCAAAATCTAGAGGGTACCAGGTTGGAGAAGGCTGGCTTTCCACCTTAGTGACAGTCAAGCCAAAAACTCAAGGTCTATCAATGACATTGCTGAACCCAGTAGGCCCACAACAAACATAAGCAGTTCTTTGCGAAACAATGTGCCATTAGATTATGGCATGCATTGGCATAAGATGTGTCAGTGAGTGCTGACCTCAGTGGCTTTACAGAAAGAATTCATCAAATTCCTGGAAAATAGATCTACCCAAGGCTACCAGCCAGGGAGGGCTGAAGGGAACATTCATGACCAGAAGCTGCATATCTCCAGTCAGCAGGTCCTCGCGGCAGATGACTGAGGATGGCTCATGAGCTTCTTAGGGGAATCTGGTCGGCAGCAGAGCCAATCTGATCCAGCAAGGTTAGCCTTACATTAGCACCAGGTCCTTGATGGCATAGAACTGAGCCTGTTCAGTGCATTCCCAGGACAAGTGGCTATTTTTGCTGCTTTGATTCACATCGCTGTATGTGCCAATATATTTTCAAGGAAGGACTGTTCTGTTTATCTGGCTGCAGCTACCAGCCTTGTGCCAGGAACTAAAATAAAACAAAACAAAATACACTCTTCTCTTTTTTTTTTAAAGCAGCAGAACTATAATGCAGTTCACAGTCTTGCTTTTCTATTTATTTCACCTTCTTTCTTTATTTAACTGTATTTTTATCTAGTTTCACCCAGTGAAATGTGGGCATGTTTAAGGGGGTGAATGTTCCGTAGGAGAGGCTTAGCTCCCTCTGCACTATAAATTTAAAGCACCATGATACAACACTAAACAAAGAATCATGGGAACTCTAGTTTGTTAAGGGTGCCGAGGGTTTGTTGGAGACCCCCCAATTCCCCTCACAATTCCCTGAGTTCCTCAGGAAGTGGGACTGAATCTTCAACCACTCTCAGAATTGTACCCTGGCCCTTAGTTGCTCAGGGCTTTATATGTTTGTTTGTTTATTTATTTTAAAATAATTTTATTAAAGATTTCTTACTTTACAAAAGTACATGCATTGTCTCTTTTTTCAGGTTGTGTTTTCTACAGATAAGTTTCATTTGTTGTGAGACATTAGTGTTGCCTATAAGGTTGGGAAGAAAAGGGGGAAAGAGGGGGTGGGTCGGCGTGGCAAAGCTTCTATTCTGTGGGGTTTTGTGTCAGCGTTTCAGGGCTTTATAAAGGAACACATGGACCTTGGACCTTGCCCTACAGTGAGCCTTGCACGACTTGGATCTGTTCCCATTAACTAACTAATGCTTTCCCATTGGCTCTCTTACCTGTGTATGCACCATCATAATCAAGAACACTGAAAGTACTTCTGCTGGCATGCCAAGTAGACCATTTATTGCTGGAACCTCAGGGTAATTGTTCCCATCTCTGTAAAGCAGAAGAGGATTGTTTCCATAAATAACTTCAGGGAATCCTATCCCTCCCATGGTGGCAGCCAGGAAGCAGATAAACAAGAAGAGTTCTTACCGAAGTTGTTTATTCGCTATTCACAGAGAGAGAGACGAAGGAATGTGGTCTCCTTTTGATAATGGCATTGCTCCAAGTAAAGTCTCACCTCCTCGGTCTCTTCTATTCTACATCACCCCTGCACTGGCTGACCTGTGCTTTCTGCCTCTGAGCTTTATGTTCTACTACTCTCAACGCCTGGGCCTAGGGGGTCAGGAATGCTTTCTAGAGACACTGAGTCATCGGCTGTCTCTCCCCTGCTGCTGCTGCTGCTGCTGCTGCTGCTGCTTCCTGCTGCTCTCCCAATATTTCCCAGCTTCTCCTCTCTGCAGCTTCTGAACTATGACCTTCTGCAAACCACTGTTCTAAATCTATACTGTCCTCCTCTTCTCGGGAAGGTGCAGGAAGAGGGTGGGGGCGGTTCCCTCCATTCCTCCTCAGTCCAGTCCCTGACAATAACCATGGATGTCCAACTAGCTGTTCCCTCAACGCTTAGCAGCATTTGATGGTGTGCATAAAAGTGTAAAGGCCTCCCATTCTTCTCTATCCAGATCATCCTTCCAGTGTCTTCATGGTAACCATCCACAGTCCAAACAAATCCTATGTAGATTGGGCCCTATGTTTTCACAGTACCAATTGCCCACTTCCTTAGATTTGCACATGGGGATTCAGAGTTTGGAGTTACTCACTGAAGAGCTGTTCAAGCTTTCAGCAAATGTTTTTTAAAATGGAAAGTGGGTGATGATTCACAGCCCCAAGTGCTAACACCTAGCTGCCATGATTAGTGCCTCATGAGGGATGGAAGCATAGGAATTTTACAGTATTTGCAGTTTGAAATTATGAGTAACTTGAGGGTCTCAGGCTGAATCAGGAGGCATTACTTAATGCCCATTCCTTCAGCAACTCATTAGAATGATATAGTCTTGTTGGCTTCTCTCATGGGGCGGGTGCTGCTTTATACTGATTCAAGCCACTGGCCCATCAAGCTCAGTGCTGTCTACACCGATTGGCAGTGGCTCTCCAGATTTCAGAGAGAGGAGCTGACTGGAGATGCCAGGAACTGAACATTGGAAATGGTGTGTTGTTTTTGCAATAGTTATGCCCTGATTGAAATGAGTAGCAGGTTCCTCACTGACTTACTTGGACGTCAGAGGCCAATAATGAGAGCTTGGGGAAAATCCACCCTTGATCCTGATTATAGTTGTCTGCATATGAGAGCAACTGAACTCCAGGGTAACTTTTGCAATGTACTGTCAGCTTGCCAAGTGCAAAACTGCGAGATGTCAGCACCCTTGTAGCAGAGCTCCCTGTGAAAGCAGAGAGATTCTGGGCCTGGATGATAATCTTCACATTCTGTCCACAAGCACTGCACCTTCTGTACTAAGAGGGACCACAGTGTGTGAGTCCAGAGATGACAATGCACAGCGGGTTGTAGGGAATCAGGGTCATGTATATATGGAATTATTCAGGAAGCTTAAATGCTGTTCCAGAATGAGGTTGAGGACCACTTGCAAACTTTTCAGGAGATGGTGCTGGATGCAGGTCCTTGGGCAAGATTGCCTTCGTGGTCCAATCTCCCTTGCTGACATTCAGACGGGGCACACTGGGTGAGGCAGATCTGCTACACTAGTTTCCTAGCAAGTGGGAGAGTTGGAGGGGGGGAGGCGGAAGGAAGTTTGGTGTGGTGCAAACACACCAGTGGGGCCAGTCCAGTGCTCCTGCACTGCACCAGCAGTGTTTGCACTGCACCAGCCTCCTTCTGCTGCCTTGCCCCTCTCCCTCCCATTAAGCAACAGTGACCCACCTGTCGGGAAGCTAGCTCTGCCCCATCTGGGGAGCCACTTCTGCTGCCATTATCACCACCTCCTATTTCTGGTTGCTATTACTCCTTGATTGCCTGACAGAGAACCATTGAGCAAGCAGGCAGCGGCACAGTTACTTCTCTTTCTCACCACCACTGTGGGCTGAGCCTGAGGCATATGAACAGGCAAGTTGCAGTGGTGAAGAAGAGGAGCAGGTCCATGGAGATTCTTGTCCATTAGCTTTGCTGGTTTGGTGGCCCTTGGCAGATGCCCAGCCATGCTGAGTCTTGATGCCAGCCCACTCAAAAACACATGGCTGGATACTACTGAGAACAGGGCCACCCCACCCATGAGGCAAGCTGAGCAAATGCCTTAGGTGGCAGGATCCACAGGGGAAGCAGTTTCACAAAGAGATCTTTATTCCCCTCTTGTTCCTGATGTAGATCTTGACTCACCCCCTTCTTCCCTGGTGGGGAACGGGTGGGGGACATTTTGTGGGCCGCTCCTGATTAGGAATAAAAATGCTAGATTAGCTGGACCATTGACCCTATCCAGCAGGGCTGCTCTTATGTCCTTTAGAGGACCTATCTGCACAGTACATTTTAAGCAGGCTCACACCACTTTAAACAGTCATGGCTTCCCCCAAAGAATCCTGGGAACTGTAATTTGTTAAGGGTGCTAAGAGAATCACCCCATTCCCATCACAGGAGTGCAGTTCCCAGAGTGGTTTAACAATCAATCTCTTTTTCCCTGGAAACTCTGGGAATTGTAGCTCTGTGAGGGGACTAGGGGTGTCCTAACAACTCTCAGCAACCTCAACGAATGACAGCTCCTTGGATTCTTTGTGGGGCGGGGGGAGCCAGGTTCGATACTACTTTAAATGTGTAGTGCGGATGGGGTCATAGCTATACTTAGACAGACCTCTTTTCCACCCCCTCTAGTTCTCTCTAGTTCTCTCCAATTAGAAGCAACTCTTTAAGGTCTCACAATTGCTCTGAGCTTTGCAAGCTGCAGTCCTTTTAATGGAGATGCATTGGTGAAGAATGGTATAGTGTGTAGATGAGGGAAGGAAGAACCTTACACAAATAGCTCCCAGTGCAGAGCTAATGTGTGATGTAATGTGAGACACATGCAAAGATTCTGCAAGGGTACTTCCCATTCTTTTAAAACAGAGCTTTCCATACGTTTCATATTGGTGACACACCTTTCAGACATGCATCATTTCGCAGCACAGTAATACAGTTTTACTAGCAAACTGGAAGTTAACCTGACCTCTTTCCAGACCCAGGAGGAGTGCAGCTGACACACTAACATATCGCGACACACTGTTTGGAAAGCTGTTTTAAACAAAGGGTGTTGCTTACACACACACATCTTTTCTTGCAGGTGACCTCTAGCACCCAGTTTTATTGCTGCCTTTTAAAACTGCAGGTGTTTATTGAATTGCATGGTACTTGATAATTCTT